GTCTGTCTCTTAGTTACGGGCCTAAGCTAGAATACATGGGGCCGGGGTAATTACCGCCTGGTGAAGCTAACCGCCCAAAGATTTCCAGCCCTCTCGGCTGTTTACAGTTGCCGACTACCATTTAATCACTGACTCTTTAATCTAATAAATCACAGCTGGGGGAAATGATCACTGTATCTTCCCTCTCTGGGGTTGGGGTGGGGGTTCCCGATGCACTCGAGGGCGGCATTGTCGGCAAGCGTTTGCAATGTTGAACAAGCACAGGGCAGTCATGCTGCATGCATAATGTTGTCTTCATTTGTTACTTATGATAAACGTTCTCGCACCGGGCACAAAGTGCAATTTTTCAAACCCCATTTTCTTTTTTTTGTGTGCGTTTTGTCTTAACTACACACAGAAAGTACAGCTTGGTGGAAGCTTCCACGTGTGGCGTTTAATGTACTTACTCTACATCGTTTTTAACTTTGTTACTTTGTGAGAATTGTATTTTCTTCAGAAAAGGAAGTAAAATATTCAGGTCACATTGGGGGCAGTGACATTATTTTAAAAAAGTATTGATGTCAACCGAAGGGTTCGCTTATTTACCAGAGAATACGGCAGCCACCTGTTTTTCTGTCCGCCCACATCGGGCCCGTGAAGGATGGGCTGCTGAACTTGTGTGCTCATCAGGGAGAGACAGCTGGCTAATCAGGGCCTGATCCATAGACCTTGAGTATCGCCAAATTTATTATTGTGGCAGGACAATGAGGGCATACTCATCCAATTACAGTCCCAACCAATATTGGCTAGAAAATATTGGAGAAAAAAAAAAACCGGCAAGTAATGCAAACGGGCAGTTTTTAAGAAAATAAATCGGCGACTGCAGCTTTGTCAAATGCTAATTAAGATGTGAGCCAAAAGGTGACACAATATCTTTTGTAAAGCTAATTAGTAAAACATTTATCTTCAAGTTTTGGTTTATAACTTTTAGTAAATCTAACATGAGTGAACTTCTCAACCTTGCACCTTCTTCAGTTTTTACACTATTGCTATATTATTAATTGTTAAATTGGCAATGCCTGGAATTAGTGCTGCAACTGACCATTAAGTCAATCATGAGTTGGAAACCATCCTCTCATGACAGATCCACACCAGCGCTCATCTATCTACAGATGAGGAAATAACTAAAGGGCAATATTTTCTAAATGTAGAGCCGTCAGCGTAGGACTACCTTCATGTATTCTAGTACTTCATTGTGTCCTCTGAAGCTGAACGATGTAGCGGAAGGATTAATAGACCTTTACTCTGTATTAGCAAAGTTTTAAAGGTCTTGGATTGGGATCAGGGTCTCAGAACATCCCTACAAGTATTGGTTCTGGAATTCTAGACATAAAATAGCTTTACTTGCTACATACATGTTTCAGATCTGGTGTAAAGTCAATTAAAGTTGTTTGCCGATCTCGTTGAGTCAAAAAAAGTTCCACATGCACTCTAGTGAACCTTTTTTTCTACCATCCCTCTGCTGGCTTGATTGACTCTCCTCCTGAATATGCTGGCCTCAGATTCTTGGTACCTTGGCACACGTCTTACCACTGGCGCTCCATCGGCTACATTAGCAGGGACAGATAGAACTGGAGTGTCTTGAAGGAGGCGGCCTGGTGAATGTCTTCCCACCCTCTCCTTTTCTCTGGGACCCTCCACGGGCCCTCCCTGTGTTCCCTGCCCAGCCCCAGCCCCCGCCAGGGGAGAGAGTGGAGCAGGAAGGGCCCGATAGCCAGCCAGACCGCTCCTCTGCCGAAGGAGCCTTATCTCAGAACTGCACACAGTGCACTGAGCGCATCCTTTTCCTGGGGTTCTGGGTCCGGCAGGAGGAGGAGGAGGAGTAGACACGACTGGATATAGGTGTGTTCTCCAACCCCGCTGTGTTATATCCTGGGACTACCTTTTCAATCATTCTTCTCTAGTTCCAGCAATTCTGTAAACTCATAAATTATATATGCTTGTGTCCTTTCTTGAACAAATCCCATTGGAAATAAACTTTGCTCTTCAAAATGTGGTGTAGCATTGAAATAGTAAAACTTATGTTCAATTTAGTTTTTTCTTTTTAAGGACCGGCATTACAAGTAAACATGTAAACCACTATGGCGTTATCTTGAAGCATGAAACAGTTTTACTTATCCGCTATGCACTGTTTATTTAGTTGTATTCTGTTTTGCGTCAGTTCAATGAGTAAAAATAGTAACTGACAAACTGAACTGCAAACCTCTGCTGAAAATTGAACTGCATTAAGTTACCACTAAAACTAAAGACATTCTGCATTTGTTTGATGCAGTAATCGACTGGCCATTAACAATTCAGGAAAGGAAATTAGTAAATAAATATTCCTTAATGAATACATTGAAAATACTAAACTGCATCATTGTGTATTTCACCATTTTTGTGTTTCGGATTTTTAGCCAAAATAATAATAATTTTTGTCTCATTACCGCAGTTCTCTGTGTGGCTGCCATTCAGGGTGCGCATGAGAGCGTGCTGCATGCGTGTTGTGCTTACTTCAGAGGCTCCACCGTAGCTTACTATCTCACTACTGTTGCAGCTGTTGAACGATAAATAGTTTTGAGCATCTCAACCCTCGCCAAACGAAACGATCAGTTTGATCTCATCGGTCTGATAAAATTGATTTTATATAGTTATGGATTTTTTTATTTATTCATTCAAATTATATCCCGATTGTTAATAACACATTCGTAACAACACTTATTTTTCTTTACCCGGACTTTAAGGAATTTATGCTGCGCAAAGTGGTGATTCTGCTGTGCTTACATTTCGGTATTATATCATAAGTTCATAAAATGGCTTTTTGTGATTGCTCTATTTTGTGACTATTGTGTTGTACTGTTTTTGTTTTTATCACGGAGCTTTTGTCAGGACATATTTATTCTGGTCTGAGGGTTTTGTCTCATGCCTGCTGTATAATATAGTATGGCACTCACACAGAAATGGTGAATGTCAATAACACAAATACCTGGAAATAGGGAAAGAAGATCTCAAACATTACTGCCGAGTTGTTTCTTAGTAACATGTTGCCCTCGGCACTCGCCAACAGAAATCTCCAGGGCTGCCAGTAGTGCTGACTGTACCTGGTTTATATCCCTGCTGTACGTATGTGTGTCCTGTCGGATCAGGGTCTAATGGAGATCCCCAGGCAGAGAGGACATAGGACCAAGTTCCTGCTCCTTGCCCTGATGAAGGCGCTTCTCTCAGTCACTCTCCCCCCTTTTTCTTCTTCCTCCCTCGCTCATTCACCCTCTCCCTCTCGAGAGTAATTTCACAGGCAGTTCTAAAGTGGCCCCCAGCCATCTTCCCTAATCCCAGTTACATGTTGTTTGGCGCTGTCAGCTCTAAGCCACATCTCGTCTCTCCCAAGCAGAGAGGATGCCATTGTGCAGTAACAGGGAGTATAGATTTTCTCTGGGAAGTTGGAAAGTTTTGTGTAATGGCACCCTCACCTGAAGGGCCTTACCCCCCCCCCCCCCCCCCTTGTTAGAAGTTGAGGTTCTTTCTGGTCTAGGTCTGAGGTGGCAGAAAACTTTGAACACCTGCGTTGTCATTTAGCCTCAATCATACGTTCATGACTGTGAGGCCATTATATTGAGATGGAATACAGAATAACTCAAGAGATACTCAAGTATGTTATACTTTGTCACATCATGATGTTACATGCATCAATTTATAGCCTTAAAAAAGTATTGAACGAGGGGTATATTTGCAGAGTAATCATTTCATACCATATTAATCGTTATACTACGGAAAAAACAATGTTTTTTTCCCTTATGGAAGTATATTGACTAAGAAGAGCCTAGTAGTGGGTTAAGACAAATGGCTTGTCTGGATTCACTGAAGTCCCGTAGTTTGGCTGTTTTGATAATCCTAAAAAATTATTAATTTTTATTTATAGTATACGAGGAAGCCCGGTGCATAAGTAGAAACGTCACTCCGCATTTCAGTTTATTTAGGTCCCACGAGACCTGTTGGTATTTACATCCACATTGTTTTACCAGTCCATCAGTTAACGTGTCCGTCTCGATCAGTGTCGAGGGTCAACGGCGTGTAATCTGATTGTGAAAGCTTAAAGGCCAAACCGCGAGGTGACTCGACGTAAAAACACTGTTTTCAATTCATCTCTCTAATCTGTAGGGTCTGAAAAAATGCCGTCCACTTCACAAACTCCGAGGCAATACACAGAGCGGCAGCATTGTTTAGTGCGACTCTCAGGAGGAGCTCCTGTATTCTTCTGGACGAATCATTATGCATTGAGTAGGCCATTGGGAAAATAAAGACAAATGGGTCGCAGGGGTGAAGTGACAAATTGTTCCTGCTGTAGAGTTCAAATCTAGACTGTGTTGTAGCTCTCGGATGAAAAGTGGTCCCTGTTTTAATAATGTAGCCTAAAGGCTGGACAGACGGGTCCGTGACCAGAGTGTAGACGGTTTAACCAAAACACTTCTTGCTCTTTCCTCCTTTTTAACAACTACTGTCAGAGTTCTTTGGCAAAGGGTTCAAATATTTCTAAACCATGTGAAATGATTTCCTTAAGTGGAATGCATTTTATTTGATGTTGAAGCAGTTCTGTAGTCTCACAATGCGAACAGAAAAAACCCCCCTCTTGTACACTGTCAACACTTGTGGTTTATTTTTTTTAAATAGGTATTGTTTTCAGTCAGAGAGAGATGGCTGTTAAGGACTCACAGCTGGATGTGTGAAGCTACATTGTGTTGTAAGAAGAAGATGATGATGATGAATGTCACTTGTGACAATTAGGTCCAGTGATGCTTATTTTAAGATGATCCTTTAACACCTATTGTTACCTCAACATCCTATTTTGGGCTCTTTCACAAAAATCTGCCTTTTTAATCTATGCATGATGCCTGACGATCACTTAAGCTGCTTGTGTGTGGTGTAGATTCTCTAAATGTTACATTAAATCCTAACTGTCTTTCTCGTGTGTGTTTTTGGTCTAGGAGAGCAACAGCAGTGATTCTCAGGGTGAGCCGGAGAAGACTTTTACTCCTGCTGCCGTTGAACTGGATACAGAGTCCATCACCAATACTGTGAAAAGTACTCTCACTATGCAGGAGTATTTTGCGCAGCGAATGGCTCAGTTGAAGAAGGATCGTGGACAGGCGCAGAGTACGGCACCCTCATTGGAGACCAACGAGACATCCGGTCCGCCTGATGAACCCAGTCCCGTCCTCAGCAACGACAGCTCGGAAGAGCCCAAAAAGAAAAAGAAGAGCAAAAAGTCAGCAAGTGACCTGGAAGTTGTAGAGGAGCACAGTACTGCCGCTCCTATCGTAATAGAGGACGATGAGGACAAACAGCAGGAGTGCTCCGGTAAAAAGAAGAAGAAGAAGAGGAAAGTGGTAGAAAGCGAAGGAGCTACAAATGAGAATAGTAGCTCCACTGCTGGTGTGGAGCAGAACTGTGAGGAGATGCCTCCTTCCAAGAAGAAGAAGAATAAGAAAAAGAAACATCAAGACTAGGATGGAATTGATAGAATTAGCCTCCAATGCCACCAGTCCTTTAGGCTTCAGGGGGACTTGCTACTTGTCCTACAGATACAAACCTATTGAAAGAACACTTGAAGCTGCCCAGTAAAACCACAAACGTGTACTGTTGTCCACTTGGAAACACATTATTGTGTCAGATGGTAAAATGCCTAGACTTCCAGAAAAAGTGAAACATTTTGGGAAATACTTATTGACTTCCTTGTTACTTTTAGACGGAGCTAGGCCAGCGGTTTCCTCGTTCCCTGTCTTAATGCCAAGCTCAGCTCTCCAGCTGGAGCTTCATATTTAACGGACAGACATGAGTTGCATTGATCTGCTCATTAAAATGTATTGTCAAAAAACATTGTTCGTCTTACCATCTCATATGCTATATCTGTATTTATTTAGCATTCACAGTCGATTTTATTTTCTTGCCAGCAATTCGTTTTCACCATCTAATTCCAGTTCTTCAGACAATGAATATTATTCATTGAAAGTGACTGGAGACATTTTTTTGTCAATTTTGTAAAAAACGGAAGCCCACAGACATTAGCCCCTTGATGTGATATGAATTGATGCAATTTGGGGATGTTTTGCTAGAAATCTGGAAACTCTTTTTCTGACGCATTCATAAGCTGTAAGAAATCAGGCTTCACTTTGGAGCTTTAACCAGATCAAATCACTGTTTTTACAAATAAATCCAAATATCAATACATTTGTGTTTTGTTTTTTCCCTGTTCATAGGTGGAGTGAAATGTAGGTGAATGTATTAAGTAAACAGTGGTGAGGAGAAATGGTTTTACTTCCGTGGAGCAGTGCCTAGTATGAGCTGATCAGCTGTAAAGCAAATCTGAAAACAGTGATTTACATCTCCAAACACAGATGGCTTTTCACCTTTTCCTCTTCCAAAATGTGATTTATGAGCTTACGAAATCTTTTCTTTGACTTGATGAACTATGAACAGGCCAGTCTTGTTCAGCAATGAGTGCGTGGTATAAGGAGGAAGACGGAAACTGTCTTGCGTGCAACAACATAGCATTCCTTGTTACTATTTCGGCTTTGTAAATTACAAAAAAAATGTACATTTGGCCATTTTGTCATCCTGTGATGTAAGAACAACCTGACTATCACTGAGCATCTCGGGTGTTCTTTTCCTCTGTCTTCATTTGCTGTACTCATGACATTCAATTCATTACAAAACCTTATCAGTCACAGTATGAATATACTGCACATTTGTTCAACCAACATTTACTGACATATTTGCATATAATGATGCTCATCCTTATTTAGAAAATGACACTAAACGTATACATCGAATGTGTAAAAGCAGGATATATCTGATGTAGAGAAATACCTAATAAAAGTGACAAAGGTTTAGCCTTTTAACTGATTTGAACGTGTTCTTTCTTGAAGTACATTCACCACAGTGAACTTTCTATATAGAGCCCACATACATGGAGACAAACACCTTCCTCAAGTCTCCAGTAGCCACATGTCTTTTACGCTGAAAGAGTGAACAGCAGCAGGCTGACCCAGCTTCCACCCACACAGCAGGTTAACACTGAGAGCCGTTAGTCATTTCAGAAACTCAGAATATGCATTTGATATGTGATGTGAAACTTTGGTCCCTCCCATTGCCAGTCTGCTGTCTGTCTGTACTGTACATGCACTGGAGCTCACTCCCGTGTCCCCATCAGCTCACACACTTGTTGTGAAATGTCTTTTAGCAGTGTGCTGCTAAAAGACATTTCACAACAAGTGTGGCACTCGTCAGACCGGCTCGGCCCTATATTTCACTGATGTGCCTCCTGTACGCACTATCTGTGGCTTCAGGTGCCGTATCCTGTTCCTGTGGGGGCTGTGTGTGTGTGTGTGAGATGGGGGGGGCAAGTTTCACAAAAAACTAGAACTGACACTTCAGTTTGATGATTGAGGAGGCATGACCAAACCAAAAAGATGTGTATTACAATTTAAGATGCATGTTGCCTCTGGATTAAGTCTGGAGGAAGGAAGTTAGAGAAGAGTTAAAACCACAGTATCTGTCGGGTTACTCCCTCCCCCATAAATACTACAAACCAAGACACCATCTGACCTATGATCAACAGTAGCTGTGCTCAGGCAGTGTGTGTGTGTGTGTGTGTGTGTGTGTGTGTGAACTACTCCATGACTACAGCCCAAGAGTATCCTGTCAACAGGAACTCAAGGATTTGATACGCACCCGCCTCTGGCCACAGAAGGAAACTGATTTGTTTGTGGTGTGTTCAGTGGTTTTATCTCTTTTGTCCCCCTCAGATGTGTTTAGAGGTTCCACGTGGATCTGCACCCGAACTGTAAAAAAAGGAGAGGACCTTTTCCTCCTCTGAGGGATGTTTAAACACAGGCTTCTGCATTTAGATGTTCAACAGGAATTATGTGGGAGAATATATTTAGAAAGCTGGAAAAATGATTTTGAGGGCAGCTTATTATGAAAACATAAGAAAAGTTTTCTTTCATTTTTCTTTTAAATGACGGACCATGAAGCTCTGGCCTGCTTAGAAGTTCAGTGGCAATCTAAAAACGCCACTTCAGCTCAGTTTAATGTGTGAGTGTAGGCCTACTGTCGAACAGGTTAGATAGGTTTCACAGGTGTGAATTTCCATGTTGATGAGGGCGAAAAACGACCTGATGTTGCCAAATCCCTCTGTCATAACATTAGCATGAATTTACATGGAAAAAAAAAAATCCGGTTTATCTATAATGACTGAATAAAATGACCGCATTTGGTCCCATGTGAATTCACAGTGACAGGTAACGAGTTTAGTTTGTTCGTTATCTGTCAGTGGAAAGTGATGTTTTGTTGTGAGGCCAGTTTAAGTAGTCAGTGGTGTTGAAATGATTCTCTCTCTCTCTCTCTCTCTCTCTCTCTCTCCCTCCCTCTCCCTCTCTCTCTCTCTCTCTCTCTCTCTCTCTCTCTCTCTCTCTCTCTCTTTCACGGGGCTCAACTTGCAATCAAGGAGGAGCCGAGAGTCCTCCGGGGCTTCTCCTGGAACCTGCTCCTCAAATATAAAGCGCTCTCCCCATCCACCAGGAAAGACCGAATCATAAGTTAGAAGGAGGAGACGCTGCTTGAGCATATCTGTGGTTTCGCCTAAAACTTTTACTGACATCTGACAGTAGCCTGTAGTTCTGGTGATCTAGTGAGCGTGAGAGACACTGCTGAATTAAAAAGAAAACAGTTCTAGTAGATTTTTAGCTTTTTAATCAGCCGCCAGAGAAGTCAACTTGTCAGCGCGACAGAGTGAGAAGCGCATCTTAAGTTTGGAGAGGAGAAAGCGCGCACATGGCAGCCCTCATCAGCGCGTACTCGTCGTGGCCAGAGTCCTTCGAGTGTCCTCCCGGAGACGGGGAAGTGCCCGACGGACACGGCCCGCACAGGACCCCCGTGGACAAGGCTCCGGAGCCGCGGATCAGACGTCCCATGAACGCGTTCATGGTGTGGGCCAAAGATGAGCGCAAACGGCTGGCGGTTCAAAATCCAGACCTGCACAATGCCGAGCTCAGCAAAATGTTGGGTGAGATGAAGTTATTTTAAGTTGTATTGATTAAAGTGTTTTGTTGAGCTAGGAATTATTATTATTATTATTTTATTATTGTAAATAATATTACTGATTTGTTTTTTTAAACATCCACACACTTATAATTCCCCCCAGGCCTCGGCTGTTTTACAAAAGTTTTAAAGTTGTTTCCAACACCAAAAAGGTATGTAAATTAAATTAAAAAAAACTATTCAAGGTGTTTAGGAATAAAAGACAACAAATCGACGTGTTTATTCGCAGTTGGTCATAATTTAGATCGAGTAAAATAATCATGTAACTTCTCAGCTATTATAGTGGGAAGCGCGCCGCCAAACCCCTCTGAATTTAAAAGGTAATGTCTCTGTAAAAACGATTTAATTTGTTGGGACGATGGACATAAAAGGAATGAAATGTATGATTTTGCGTTGGATTTAGGCCACTTGGATTAGTGTTTAATGTTAAGCCCAAAATCTGGCACTCTCGCACATCTGAAATCATCTTAAAGCCAATTCCAAAACAGCAACACATATAAAATATGCTGTCATTAATAAAAGTCAAATTGGCACTTATGGTTATGTTAAATAAGGCATTCTTAACTTGAAGCAAAGTCCGTTAAACGATTAAGAATTTATAGGGAAGATGAATATTGAGGTTGTGTGAAAAGTTTTAATACAAATGTTATTTTGTTTTTTTCTAGAGAAAAAATCACACACTTGAGAAATATATGATAATTATGAGCTCTTGTTTTACAGTAAGGGAATACTTATATTAATATTTGTGTGATGTCTGTTGTATAGTGCTATTTAAGCTTTGTTTTAATTGTGTTTTAATCCCACCATTATCACAGGGAATTTAGAATCCTATATCCGATAAAAGAGTTTAATCCTAAAATTTTAGGATGTTGTAGAAGATTGTTAGTGTGTGAGTGATTTTAATTTAGTGTTGGTATAAGAGACTTTAAATATGAAATAAAAAAAATGGTGCAAAAATAAATGGCGAGCTAATCTATTGAAACTTATTCAAGATTTGTAGTTACATTTGAACAAAATTATTCTTGCAGGCAAGTCATGGAAGGCCCTGACTCCCCCTGATAAGAGGCCCTATGTGGAGGAAGCAGAGAGGCTTCGGGTGCAGCACATGCAGGACTACCCCAACTATAAGTATCGGCCTCGCCGGAAGAAACAGCTGAAACGCATCTGCAAGCGAGTGGACCCTGGCTTCCTGCTGAGCGGGCTGGCCCCTGATCAGAACGTCCTGCCCGACCAGCGAGCCCTCTGTCGCCCCCTCGACAAAGACGAGGGCAGCCCTAATGGTATCAGGAGCGGGTTCTCCAGCCTCAGCCCTTCTCTGCCCAGCGTCAGAAGCTTCAGAGACCCAACCGGTTCAAACAGCAGCTTCGACACCTACCCCTATGGCCTACCCACTCCCCCTGAGATGTCCCCCTTAGATGCCATGGACCACGAGCATGTACCCCATTCTTATTATTCAACATCTGGTAACTCCTCCTGCTCTTCCTCCTGCCCAGATGAGCACCACCAGAATCAGACACACATTGGCAGCCCGCCTCCTTACCACACTGACTACGCTCAGACCCAAATCCATTGTGGGGGCACACACATAGGTCACATCTCTCACATGTCCCAAACTGGTGGCGGACTGATCCCTGGCCCTCCGATGTCTTACTACAGTACCTCATCTTTCTCCCACATTCACCACGGGCTCCACCAGGGCCACCTGGGTCAGCTGTCCCCCCCCACCAGAGACACAGGGTCACCTGGAGACTCTAGACCAGCTGAGCCAGGCAGAGCTTCTGGGTGAGGTGGACCGCGATGAGTTTGACCAGTACCTGAACTCCACTGCGACCGGGTTTCACCCTGAGCAGGGCAGCAGCATGATTGTTACAGGACACATCCAGGTTGCGTCTGCGGCTACTGCCTCTGCATGTCCCAGCAGCACCACAGAAACCAGCCTCATTTCGGTGCTCGCGGACGCAACGGCGGCCTACTACAACAACTACGGCATCTCGTAAGCACCCATTATACTTGTTGCTGATCAGAGACACTACGGGGGGTTAAAATGGGTGAAGACATTGGGATGATGTTGCACCTGGGTGCCAGTAAGGGAAAAATGTCTGTGCTTTGATCTGTAAATTCAAATCTCATATTAGCATATATGAGCAAAATCATCCCACCGTGATTTGAACCTGAACTGACTACTGAGCAAAATGATTGTCTGGAGCCGAGGAAAGAACAAAGAGCAATTGTAGGAATATGAAGAAAGGGAGATGGACACCTCAGGGATGCAGACACAAAATACTATAGTATGCCACCTCCAGTTGTCATGACAGAAGAACAATCGTAAAGACATGTTGTCCACTTGTAAATGTCACCAGTTACTGTTGCCACTGAGGCATGTACAGATGCTCTTTAGAAGCTAATTTAAGTCCTTTGATGTTTCGCATAAATGCTAACTGTAATGCTATTATCAACGCTTTCCGTTCGAATGTTTGTACTATATGTTCTCTCTCTCTCTCATTTGTTTGGGAGTCTTACCTCAGTAGTTGTAGTTGAATGAGGTTTTAGTTGGATATTTCTTATGCAATTTAACAAAACGGTGTATAATGAAGAAAAAAGGGGGTTTATACTTCTTCTCAAGTACTTAATAATATATAATCATAACCTCTACCATGAAAAATAATAATGGTAACTATAAATGTATGCTGATTTAAGTTTGTGAAAGACAATAATTTAAAAATAAAGTTACATTTTTATATAACACAGTTGCTACTTTGATGATGTTCACACAGAAAACATACCACAACACAATAAGTATGTAGTATGAAGTATTGGTAATAACTGATACACTTGAAAGGAATTATGCAATGGCAGATGAAACACATTTCCACTCATATATATATATAACACTTAAGGAATACAATCAGATTCCTGAAATAAAACAATAAAAGAAAGAAAAATAGTCACACTATAGGTTTTTAAACACACACGAGGGGGACGTAATGTGTGCTATTTGTCCATCTTTGAATTCCGTGTCACGCCACGTATTCTTCTATCTTGTGCTCTGTCTTGCTGTTGTACTGCAAGTGTCCCATTCTGACACCCACTCCCCCCCCTTTGCTTTTTCCACCCTCCATCACATCATCCTTCTCCATCCGTCTCCTCTCGCTTTCATTTCATCCCGCTACAGAGGATTAGTGTAAAACAGGCACAGCCGTCGCCACCCGCCTCCATCTCAACCGTCCTTTGTTTTCCTGGAGTCTTATTCTGGGCGCCATTCTTAGGCACTCCGGACCCCACTTCCACCCCCACCCCCTCACCCGTGTTCTATCTTGCTGATGCAGACCTTTCGTAATCTGTGCAGAATAAATAAAATAATAAATCCCAGGGCTTCATCGACAGTTTTACACCCTCCTCATTTTTCTTTTTTTTTTACCCCCCCTCTCTTCTCCACTCCTCCCTACTCTCACCCTCTCTGTTCTCTTGAATTTTTCTTTTTCGATAAAAGGAATTCAGGGGGCTTTTGACAAATCCTGGAGTCTGGCTGGTCTTCCTGCATTTTTTTGGGAATGGTTGAGTCGTGCTTCTTGTAAAGAGGATGTGGCGGAGGAGCGGTGTTTCCTGACTGATAAGGGAAAAGCCTCTCTCCGTCAGGATGTTTGGGCCTGGCTGGGCCCTGCATTAAAGAGCCAGAGAAAGGGAAGGGAACCCACTGTTCAGCAAGCGGGAGGAAACACTGCCGTGCTGATTAGCATCTTACTAACCCGTCTTTACTTACCCACCATTTTTCATGAGAGGCTTTGTCAACCTGGCATGTCGTACCGTGACCACAGACACACAACACGCATACATACAGCAATGAGCAGGTTTCTTACGCTATAACCAGAAAACAACACTTGATATCGGAACACTTAGCAACATATGTACCTAAAATGACCTTTCTTCGGTCCCCTATTCAACCATGAGCGTGTGCTTTTGACACACCTTGTGATTAAACTGACCAGAATGACAACATACATCAAACACCAGTGTTTGCATCTGGCTGATGTCGTTGTTCATTTCTTCGGGGTTAGATCATTACCCTTTGTGCCTACAGGGGTTCAAAACTCTGAGGAGGGTCCATTTGAGTGCGACTTTATTTTGGACGTGGGAGCTGGACGGGAGGTGCCCCAGGCATACGGGGTGAGAAGTAGTCTTTGTCAGGGTCAGCTCACGGTGCTGCTGCAGACTCCCTTGGTAAAGACGCCCTACAATGTCTCAACAATCACATCCACCACCTCAGGGTAGGACACTGTAACAGGAACAAGGACAAAGACTCAAGCGTCAACAAAGCATCATCACATTAGACTCAGACTTGTGCACACAGGAAGACAGAACTTGAGCATAAATTGCAGAATAAAGCTGTGTTTTTGTCCTAATATCATATTATTCCCTAACGCTTTGATATTTTAATAGTGTTCCACGTCCAAAATGACTCAGAAAAATGTTAGGGCCACAACTGAGCTTTAGGTAAAGAATAAAAATACAGCCCTGTTTTCATTTTGGTGAAAATGCATTATTCAGATAATCCAATGCTGTTTTTCTTAACAGTTTATTCAGCTAGTGTGGAGCAGGACAATTTGCTGAAACCATAAAGGAACACTGGAAATTTTCAGTGGCTACCATAATATAAATAAATAAATATATATATATATATATATATATATATATATATATATATATACGTATGTGTGTGTAAATGGCCAGAGGCGCTCTCTGGGAGTTTTTACAGAGATGTGTGGATCCTGTGACTTTTATGTTTCGGAAAGTGAGGGCAAAACACTCAACTTGTCATCCTCAATCCTTTTCTCCCTAGAAGTTGACTCATCGTCATCACAACCTTTCGTCGGAGGCTTCTGCTGAAAACCCGAGACAGCCATTGCTGCTGTTTTAGCTGCAATAAATCAACAAGAAAGAAAATAGAAAATGAAGTGTCAACAAACACTGGCGTGACATTGTTGTGAACGGCATAAACTTTCCTCCTTATACATACAGGCACCTGCAGGAAGTATCTTTAAAGCCCCTTCTTCTGTGAGAAGGGAGCGCATGATCTATTTAATTTGTCTAATTGAATCTTTCACACATTTTGCAGGATCACAAGATTTACAATATTTGCAAATATAAGAATATAGGCTGAACAAACAAAACGCCTCCTCTTGTTATTTCTCTCTGATTGCTGACTGGCTCAGTTCCAATCTCAGGTCAAGCCAGTGGAATGAGTCTGTCAGGTAGTCTGTTATGTTTCCTATTTCCTCCTCTGCCGTCATGTCACTTCCCTGGGCAAACAAACAACTCGGCGGTCTAACTCAACACCGAGTGTCAAGGTAACAGCGTAAGGCTCTGTGTGTATGGATGGGGCGCAGAGCTTGCACAGCTGTGTAAAGTATTATCCATCTGCTGGGGCAGAGGGTGCGCGATGATCACTTTAAATATCATGTCCTCCGGAGGCAAGGAGGAGGCTGACTGTCTGGTTGGTCCAGCATCTATTGTGTAGCCGGTGAGGGAGCGTCCAATCACGTCACATTTGGAGGTCGACCATATGTGACGGTAATTGGTGCATTAACTGTAGGTCAAGAGGGAATTTGGATTTGATTTGGACTACGTGACTACGGTATATCAATGCTTGAGACTAAGATGCCCTTACCTACTTACTATAGCTACTATATCAGCATGTTTGAGTTATTGTATTGTCGCTGCATGACAACAGTTGGCTTACTCTAAAGTTATAAAACCTAATATATGCAATTGCACATATTGTAAGTATTTATTTGCAATTAGATGAAGCAACGTTATCATTCCGAGTGATTCTGGGGGGG